CAACCGTGTCTGTCAGTTTCTTCATGCATCCAGGACATCTCATTGGTCTGCTGTGAAACGTATTCTGCGTTACATCTGTCTTACTGTCTCCTATGGTTTGCTTCTTCAGCCTGCGCCCTCGTGTGAGCTCTCAGCTTTCTCAGATGCGGATTGGGCTGGCAGTTCTGATGACAGGCGATCCACGGGGGATATGCGGTATTTCTGGGTTCTAACCTGATCGCCTGGAACGCTCGAAAGCAGGCCACAGTGTCTCGCAGTAGTACTGAAGCTGAGTACAAAGCAGTTGCTGATGCCACTGCTGAGATCATATGGGTACAGTCTCTGTTGAGAGAGTTGAGAGTTGCTTCAGCACATCCTCCGGTTCTGTGGTGTGATAACATTGGTGCTACATATCTTTCATCTAATCCAGTGTTTCACGCTAGGACGAAGCACATTGAGGTTGACTATCATTTTGTTCGGGAACGTCTTGCACAGAAGCTACTTTGTATCAAGTTCATTCCGTCAAAGGATCAACTTGCTGACATCTTCACGAAGCCTCTTCCACAACCATAGTTTGTAGGTTGTAGGCGCAATCTTAACTTGCTTTGTACTTCAGGCTACAGTTAAGATTGAGGAAGGGTGTTAGACTGTATATATACATAGTCTATGTATTAATATTGTAACATTGTATTATACCCTTTAATACCTCTATACAATGAAAGAGCCACATCCTAAACGGGGTGTCGAGCATGTACAAAGAGCGACCGCGAGATCTGATATACACACGCGCGGCGGAGTTCCGTCGCCCGCGCGGCGCGCGGGCGCTAGGCCACCGGACGCGTGGAACAACGCTACGCAACGATGCGTCGCTGACCCCGCACCTCGCGCCGGCTTCTCGCCGCACCGGAAAAGTCCGGCGCCGCGTGCGGAATTGCCGACTGCCCGGGCTAGCTCGACGAGAGACAGCTGGCCTCCGGTCCGGGGATAGGTGGATCCGTGCATGGCGCACGGTGACGTAGCGTGAGCCAGGTCACGTGCAAGCTGCCTTTCGGCCACCGCGACTCCACGAGGCCGGCCTGCGCTGAGCCAAAAGCGGCGGTCCAGTCCACGTCGCCGGCGACGCGCGTGCGGCTCGCCCCTGCGGTCTCGCCCGGGGACCTACAGCGGTTGCTCGCGGGGATGGATATTCGCGACTCGTCGCGGGGATGCCTCTGGTCAGGTCGCCGTCGCCGTCGCTGACCGTACAGTTGGGCGCTGGTGCGGCGCTGGCCACATGCGTGAGCGTCACATGGATATCTCTAGCACGAAGTGCATGGTCACATGGGCCAATCTAGCCGCACCATCGCATCGCAGCAGTTTACTTGTCGCACACGCGAACGTGAATGGCCCTGCGTGCATGCGACCTCGCACGGTCGCACACGCCGTTGCTCTGTGCCGCTGCCTGCGCTTCCGGATGACTCAGGCATGGACCATGCTTGCACGCACCGCTCAAGAAGTACTATTTGAGAAGAGAAAAAACATGTCAAACTCGACGCGCGGTACGAAAACACTGGGACCTGTTTGGTAGGCTACATGAAGTCCAACCAGGCTCTGATGGGCTAAGTTTGAGTTGTTTGACTGCCTGACTCGCATGGAAAAACCAGCCGGCATGAAATTTAAAGTACCCCTCTGGCTAGTGTAATTTACACTACGAGGGAGGAAGCGGAATATGGTAAATTCAGGTGATCAAACGACAAGTAGGACATGGCACGGAGCCTACCATCCTCTAGGCCAAGAGTTTCTGTATTGGGATGTGAATACATTTTTTTTGCGGGGGTATTTGGATGTGAATTAGAGATGCAGAACAGATATTGTTAGATTCAAGTAAAAAACACTTTCCAACAGCATCATTTTTGTACCAAATAATTAAATATACACCTCAACAATCATTGGTTGAAATAAATTCTTTAAATAATCTAAAAGCTGACCACAAGCTGACGACAAACGGAACATGGCACAGAGCCCACGTCCTCTATTTTCTGGATTTTTGGTTGGGTCGTTTGCTTTGGCTATTTTGATATTGTAGTGGATTATTATGCGATAATCCACTTCGGTGCCAAAATTGATTTTTTTTACAGGCAAGATGTGTATGTGCATGATGTTTGGGCAAATTTTCATGAAGTTTGGAAATTCGAGGAGCACGTGGCAAAAAAGACAAAATCGTACGTGAACAATGTTGTTTTCAAATGTTTCTCACAGACATGGACTTTGTTTTTTTTCACGAGCTCCTCGAATGTTCAAACTTCATAAAATTTTGCACGAATATCATGAATTTGAGCATCTTGAATAAAAAATGGGATTTTTTGATATTTTTTCTCTATTTTTGTGGCCTTATTGTTCATGCCCGGGCTCAGATAACCTGGGCACCAATACGCCGCACTTATTACTATGTCCACTAAGTTTTTGTCTATTTGATGTTAGGCGCTTTAGATAAGTCGAGGGCTCAACGGCGATGATGACAACTCTAGAGTGTTGATCCTTCAAGACACATACTTGAAAACTTCCCAGCTGTTATCGAGAAGGTCAAACCAACATCAATAAACTGGAGTTGTATTAGTGGTGCATCGACGGCTCATTTTAGCGATGATATTGGTCATTCGATAATCTACGGATCACGATGTGATTTTTATTATAGTTTTTTTTAGTGAAAATGTCTAGATCTGTTATAAAAGTTCACCGTCAGTACAAAAAATCTCAAACATATTGAAAATAACATCGAGATTCCGACATCACTGAACGACCACTACTGTGACCAGAACGAGTCATGCCCCTCTGCTATAGCCTCTCTTCACTAGAGCCGGGTTGACCTTGTCGATGACAACCGGGAAGTCTTCGTGCGAAGTGCCCTGGAGCCGCAGTTGTCGCCATTGAACCCTTAAATAACTCCGAATCACATGACACCCAATCTCGCGACATGATGAGAAATTTTAAACTCGCCGCCGCAAGAAGACGGCACAAATCTATGCCGGATTTTCGTCGACTTCATCTAGACAGACGAATTCGAGGAGGAGTCCGGAAGAATTAAGAAGCGACACCATTCGCCTGAACGCCACGTGTGTGAGGACAAAAAAACACTCACCTAACTATTCACCGGAGCAGAGGCACCGGAGTTCTACTCTCCGCCATCGGCAGCAGAGCGGCTGGCAGGGTAGAGGCGAATCCACGGACTCATAGGCTGCCTAAAGTTAGAGGAGAAAACACATTTTTTTATGTTTGACGTACTTTGTGAAGTACTTTCGATTATCTTCAGAAAATATTTTTGAAAAGAAAAGGTTTTTTAATCAATTAGATGTTTGTTTAACCATTTTTTTCTTATAAATATGCTCCTACATAGTTTTGTAGCACAAATGCAAACTACTCCTAGGGGCCAACACCAATTGTACGGTGTAGTGTTTGTAGGAATGAGTGTATGTGTATATTTATAAGGGCTTCTTTGATTGTAGGGTTTTGAAAACGCAGGAATAGAAAATGTATAGGGCTAGAGTGACATGTCCGCTTAAATCCTATAGGATTAGCAATGAGTGTTTGACGCCGCAGAAAAATAAAGAAATTGTAAAAAACGTTAGAGCGGTTAGATATCCTATGAAATGTAATACAAAAGATTTCATATAAAAAACTCCTACAGATCCAGTCCTATGATTCAAATAACTAACATAGAAAAAATCCTAAGAATTTCAATCTTTTCGAAATGACCCTAAGTGTCTGTGCCTTTAACTTTTTTTTATATCTTTCGATCTTGTCGCTGAGGTTGTTTCGAAAGATTAGATTTACCATTGCACAAACAAGGAGAAAGATTAAACTTGCCCAAAAAGTTATCGTAGGGACCTACACCTACGGGGCACTTAGTCGCCTAGGAGTACGTGACAGTACAGATTCCAATGCAAGTTCTTCAGAAGACGATTTTAATCTACCTTAAGGCTGGTCATAGTGGGAGTAACTTACTCCCTCCGTCCGGGTGTATAAGTCATTTGCGTAGTTCTAGGTCATCGATTTGAGAAATTAAATATGTGTTATATGTCATGAAAAATATACCACTAGATTCCACACGGATGTAGTTTCTAAATATATATTTTTTGTCACATATAATACATATTTAGATAGTTAAATTATCGACCTGAAACTACACGAATGACTTATACACCGGGACGGAGGTAGTAGCTAGTAACATAGCGCTCTTCGAGAAAATTCTGCTTATGTGGCAAGTAATTAATGAGAGGTGGTAACATAATATGTTACTGTAACATAGTGCTTTCCAAGACAAGATGAGTCTATGAGCTAGTAAATGAAGCCAGCTGACCACAAGGCGCCTAGATATCATCGACGGTGGCGATCGATGCAAGTTTTAAACTTGAAATCCGCGGAATCCGCAACGAAACACTATTTTTTATATTTTTTTACCCTACGAGCTGAGAGACGGACCAAGTGGAACGATGGGAATCTCGACGACCCGTACAATTATCCCAAGGGCCGCAAGCACCCGGTGGGCCCCGCGCAACATGCCTCCCTCCCTTCCTAACCCGGGGCCCCACCGCGCAGGCAGGTGGTACTGTTCTACGGACCGACCCTCGTCATATCTCACGGGCTCGGATGCTCCCTCAGTCCCTCGCCATCCCAGACGGCGACATAACTGCTGACGTCATCCATGACAATTGCGCTCCCCCGCTGGCCCCACGCCTTCATCCGACGGCTCGCGCGTCTCGTCGCCCGTCCGATGATCGACACGTGGGTTGTCATCCGACGGTCAACCAGGCCCCCTCCTCCCCTCCCCAACTTGCACGTGCGTCACATCGCGGCCTCCCCGTCCGCCCGTCGACACGCGTCGGCACCTCCGCCTATATATACGGGCGGGTACGGCGAGCTCATGTTCCATTCCAAGTCTTCCCCCCAAGCTCGAGCCGCCGCCGCCGCCGATCAGCCGAACCAGCCGCCGATCCAACCAATCTCCCGAGCGCCCGCCCTCCGAGCTCAAGCCCCGTTCGTGAATGGACCACGGCTTCGACGGCGCTCTCCAGCTGCCCCCGGGGTTCAGGTTCCACCCCACGGACGAGGAGCTGGTGATGTACTACCTTTGCCGCAAGTGCGGCGGCCTGCCCATCGCCGCGCCGGTGATCGCCGAGGTCGACCTGTACAAGTTCGAGCCGTGGAGGCTGCCGGAGAAGGCGGCGGGAGGGGGGCCGGACGCCAAGGAATGGTACTTCTTCTCGCCGCGCGACCGCAAGTACCCCAACGGGTCGCGGCCGAACCGCGCCGCCGGGACCGGGTACTGGAAGGCCACCGGCGCCGACAAGCCCGTGGGGTCGCCCCGCCCCGTGGCCATCAAGAAGGCCCTCGTCTTCTACGCCGGCAAGCCCCCCAAGGGCGTCAAGACCAACTGGATCATGCACGAGTACCGCCTCGCCGACGTCGACCGCTCCGCCGCCGCCCGCAAGAAGTCCAACAACGCGCTCAGGGTAACCACCTGACCCCGTCTCTCTCTGTCAATCTGCGCTGATGCTTGGCTGCCTCGTTTAATCCCTTCCTCTTTTAGCATTAGCGAGAGATTTACTGCGCATTTAGTAAAGGAATCGACCGGGAGATCTTTCTTGAAATAGCAAGTGGTGTTTTAGCTTTAGAAAAGTCGATTGGCAGGTTAGGTGCGTCGTGGCCATGCGAAAAAGAAGGGGAAAAGGGGCCCAAGTTGCAGCAGCACGCTCAAGTTGTCCCTTTCGTCACAGCCTGTAGTTTGGCGTCGACGTGCGGAAAGCAATTGCGGCGGGCGCATGTCGTCATGGCTCACGCACCGCGGGATGGAGACAACGCCGCCCGCCCGCCCTCCCCATCTCCCGTCCACGTACACGTACACTAGCTTTGGTTGCTTTTGAATTGTTTTTTCTTGCTCGATCGATCGCGTCGCTGAGACTTTTCTCCTCGTGATCTCTGCAGCTGGATGACTGGGTGCTCTGCCGAATCTACAACAAGAAGGGCGTGATCGAGCGGTACGACACGGCGGACTCCGACGTGGCCGACGTCAAGCCGGCGCCGGCGCCGGCTGCCAGGAACCCGCGGCCGGGCCAGTACCACGCTGCTGGGCCGGCGATGAAGGTCGAGCTGTCCGACTACGGGTTCTACCAGCAGCCGTCGCCGCCGGCCACGGAGATGCTCTGCTTCGACCGCTCCGGGTCGGCGGACCGGGACTCCAACTCGAACCACTCCATGCCGCGCCTGCACACGGACTCCAGCTCCTCGGAGCGCGCGCTGTCCTCGCCCTCGCCCGACTTCCCGAGCGATATGGACTACGCGGAGAGCCAGCACGCGGCCGGCCTCGCCGCGGGGTGGCCGGGCGACGACTGGGGCGGCGTCATAGAAGACGACGGGTTCGTCATCGACGGCTCGCTCATCTTCGACCCGCCGTCGCCGGGCGCCTTCGCCCGCGACGCCGCCGCGTTCGGGGACATGCTCACGTACCTGCAGAAGCCGTTCTGAATGAACGCGGCATCCGTCAGACCCCTCCTCCTTAGCAGCCTCCACTAACATGTTCGTCAGGTCTCGTGTAATTCGGTCTGCAAGCTTCCGAAACCAATGCAGATTAGAGAAAACTTAGTGAGGATTAACCCGCACAAATCTGATGCCCCTAGATCGATCGATCGGGGTTCGGATGCAGAGTTTTCCCAAACGCACGTATATACCAGGTGTTAGCCTCGTCAGGTTTTGGATGGCATTTGGGTGACTTGGTACAAGCCAGGATCGTTGTACCATGTGCCCTGCTGCCCCTGCTCCTTGGCCGCCGCTTGGACATGGCAAGCATGCATGGTCAGGTAGCCGTCGGGTAATATTTCAACTTTTGCCGTGGTAGTACATTCCAACCAAATTAGAAGTAGAGGTCGAACAAGAAGATGAAACTGAAGTTTTGGGTTCAGGAGCTGTGGATCGTGTTGTGTAGCTAGTAGTGTAGAGCTGGTTCGGGTTATTATTTTCTTCTCGAAGGACTTGGGTTCAGTGTCGTGGCAGCTGGCTGACGCTTTTAGGTTTTGTTGTGTCATGTGTAATTGTAATTGCGAAGATGGATGTGATAGAGTCGATTTCAGTGGTGGTCTCTCGCGTGACCTGGAAAGTCAATTTTTTATGCAATTATCGTAATAATTAAACAGTGATGTCAATTGTAGTTATCTATGGCCTCATTTTGCTTCTGCCCTGCGCCTGCTGATGCTTGCTTGCACGCTCACACGACTGGATGAGAGAGAGAGGCTGCCGCTCTGTTCTTTGTGAATTGTGTATGTGCATGTTGGTTCTGAATCTAGTCATGCAACTACATGGAGAGACGCCATGCACGCATGCCACTTTTGAAGGGGCGTCATCGTCGTGTACTCAAAAGTGTGATGCCTTCTCTTTTGGCTGTTGTTGAGGGGCATCTCGAGTCATGGATGTATGCCCTGCTGAAGCGCACGTAGGTAGGAACACTTTCAGAAATTATCTGCATATGCTAAGTTTTAAGCAGGTTTTACGTTTTAAGTTTCCAGAAATAGTTTCAAGTGAACTCATAGCAAATTTCTGAATGTTTCAAACAAATCGTACAAGTTTCAGAAAAAAATATGATCCTGACAATTTTCATGCTTCGAAGCAGAATTTTAGGTACAACATAACCTAGTTTAATGGGCAATCTTTTTTTAAATTTTTTTTCAAGGATACGTCATGAATATCAAGATCATAAATAGAAGGGGAACGTTTCCCTGCGGCGCGCCAGCGGAAACGCTCCGCCGCTCGCGTACGCTTCGTTCGATCGAGGGCGATCGTGTGGCCCTGTGTGGGCTCATCCTCTCAGCCCCAAACGCTCAACCCCACATCACCCTTCCACGCGCTCGCAGGACGCATCACTATGGGCCCCACACTACCGCTGTTCCCTATCCCTCCTTTCTTATCCTCATCTGTTTTCTTCATTTTTCCCCAGTCGCCTCTGCTTCAGACTACCACATCAACCATGACGCATATCCCAGCTCTCTCGTCTACTCCGCGCCTTGCCAGCCGCCGGACACCTGCACCTAAAGCCAACCCACAGCCCCAACATCCACCCCACAACGCGAGCGACCACGACGGGGGGCGCTCCTGCTGCTGTGACCCGGGGCGATGCGCAGGGGTCATGGCACGACAGTGGATGAGGGTGCTCGTGGCCATGTTAGTTTTTGCTAGAACCGGCGAACCATTTTGCTACAATCGTTTTTGGTTTTTGTTACTACCGGTGTTTTGTGCATTTGTGCTACATCCATCTCCATGACATCGTTGTTTTTTCAGTCGATTTTTTGCTACAACCATGTTATGATTTTGTTGGAACCGAAGATAATTTTTGCTGGAACCGGCTCATGTTTTTGCTACCACCCACCCCACCCAGAATCTGCTCCCACCGTATTTTTGCTGGAACCGGCTAACGATTTTGCTATGACTGGCCAGGATTTTTGCTGGAACCGGCTCTGCGGTTGCTACAACCGGCAGGACGACGTGCCCACTGGAGCTGGAGCTGTAGCGCGCTCACCGGCGATGTGGTTTTTGCTGGAACCAGCATAAGTTTTTGCTGGAACCGGCTAGTTACTTTGCTACAATCAGACTTTGGGGATTTTTGCTGCTATGTTTATTTTTGCTGAAACTAGTGTCAAATTTTGCTGGAACCGGCTATTCCTTTGCTACAAAGCGGATTTTTCTGATTTTTTGCTGCTATGGTTGTTTTGCTGGAACCGGGCAGCGGGGATGGTCACCATGCTGGAACCGGGCAACAGGGATGCTGGAACAATCGGTAGTTTTTGCTTCTACCAGCAGCATTTTTTGCTGAAACCTGCATGTTGAATTTTTTGCTAGGACGGAAGTGTTTTTGCTATAATTGATTTTCGCTAGAACCTGCATTTTTCTCTGCTGGAACTGGCTCATGGGATTGCTTCCACCAGCGAGGTGGTGCTCGCGCTGATTTTTTTGCTGGGTGGCAAGGGCGGAGACTGTGTTCGTATTTTTTTTTGCTGCAACCTTTGTGTTTTTTTGCTGGAAACAACAATAGATTTTGCTGGAACCTGCCAAAACAGAGATTTTTTTTGCAGTTGTCCAGCGGGGCGAGCGGCCATGGCGTGTCCACCTGCGAGCCGGCGGGCAGCCGCGGTGAGCCGGCGAGCGGTGGCGGTGAGCCAGTGAGCGGCGGGGTGGGTGCTACGCGCAAACCACCGCAGAGGATATGGTGGATCTGAAGCGAGGAAGAAGGGGACGTGCGTGAGGATAGCTCGCTGAATCGTGCGGTCCTGAAGACACTAATCGTGCGGCTGCGCGGGGACCGGCCGAAACGTTTGGGCCGGTGCGCCGGCGCCTAGCGCTGGCCTAAATAGAAGGTGCCAAGATGGCAATCTTTTTAATGTTGGAGATCCACTATTTCCAAGCACAAAATATCTACACAAATTAGATAGATATAGATATACACAAATCTTTGGAAGAGCCTTTATAGCACTCATTTTACTCCAGACGAGCTGGACAAGACGTATCATATAGCACTAGTTTTACTACTCTAGGCGAGCATCCCGCCTCCTCAGTCTATGAAACCAAAATTCTTGGCATGAACTCCACCATGATCCTCGGTCTACCAGTATACTGCCGTGGGCGCCTCCTAAGTTCAAGTTTTGGACAGCGGATAGGTTGTAATGGAGGGGATGACCAAAGTGCACCGTTTGTAATTATGCATTGTCTTGACTAGTAAAAATGCCCGTGCGATGCAACGGGAGAATAAAACATCATATACCCATAACCAATAAACATGTGTAGATCAAGTCTCTCTCTCCCGGATCCATGTCTTATATTTTAACACGGTATCCTATAAGACTCATCTTTTTCGTGTTGTTGTTTATCCTCCTGTCCGTCCTCGTCAATGGTGGTTGTAGTGGTCACCGAACATGGTCAATCATCTCAAGGCGGTGAGCATGTCCAACACACGGCACATGTGTCGCTTAACCGCGCTAGTGCAAGAGAATGTTTAAAATCTAAAATAATGTCATCGAGTTGGATGAACCATGCCAGAGCAAGAAAATGTTTTAAACTTAAAAAAAATAGTCAAGCTGAGAAAAAAACATATCAACCGAAAGGGGTCAATCGCCCTAAGGGAAGTGTTGAATAAGAAATAATAATAAAACTCATATTCTTTCGTTTTGTTTCCCCTCCCCTGCGAGAGAGGCGGAACCGAAGACGACCCGGCTACCACCGTCCTCCGCCAGCGACTCAAGGGGTTCCTCCTCTCTCTGGCAGCCGCTCCGACGGCGGCGGGAGAAGGGGGAACCTCACCGTCTCGTCGATGGCGTGTAGTTAGGTTAGGGCTAGGTTTTCTTCTTTCACCAGTTTCTGTATTGACGGTTATGGTGGTGGCGGCGTGGAAAATCTGCTTCGGATTCGATTCCAGTGGGTTCCTGTGAGGCGGTCGGCGGCGAATTTGGTAGTAAGCTAACCAATCGAGGCTGGTGCGGCGGCGGTGCCGATCTCGAGGTAGAACTTTTTCTTTTTTGCTCTAGGCCCGCCGTCATGGTGGTGCGTGCTCCGGCCTCAGCATGAGGGCATGGAGCTCTAGTAGGAGCGTGGTGACTCCGGATTTGCAGGTTCTCGTGGGTGGCGGCGCTTCATCATCATCGTTCAACAAACCGACGCAAGTGGCGGCGTAGTTCTGATTTGGCTTATCTCAGGAGTGCTAGTCCTCCTGGACCAAGGATCTGATTTCCTGACGTCTTTATTCTGTGCACACAACTAAGGGTTTCCCTGGCTCTGCTAGGGAGCGGCGGATATGGCGACAGCGGCGCGCCCTCATCTCTCGTTGGAGGTGTGGCTAGATTGGTTCCCCTTGGTGCATTTTGTAATTTCATATTTTTCTTGGGTTGTGTTGTATCACTGCTTATTTTCAATATCAATATAATTTGGGGTCCTTCTCATAAAAAAATTAAAATATCAATATAAAGGAGATTTTAAGTATGGATGGCATCATCATGCACGTACATGTCTCAAAGTATATGGTGTGCTCCTCTTTTATTTAATTATTAGCTAGCCACTTGATCCATTCTCTCCCTCTCCCACTGAAGCCGCGTCCCTTTTCACCGGCTTAATTAAAGCAGTTATTAGCTAGCCTCCCCGTGGATATTGCTAGCCAGTCCACGGCCGCCTGAGCACCGTCTGGCCTTCCGCACCTTGCGCGACGTTTAAGGCCGAGCGGCGTGCTCCCGGCCATTGAGAGCATCCCCTGCCTCTCCACGCGAGGCGGCACCGGCCGGGCGTGGCTCGTGCCGGCCGGGTGGCTGATGTTCCTATCTTTTTCCCACGTCGCCTCATGAATGCCTGCTTTTTCTCTTGCTATTTTCCCACGTCTCAGGTGCCACGTGATTGCTAGTTTTCTAGAGGTATATTAACCGGTCTAGGTGGATGTGAAAGACCGATGTGGTACTTTTAAATATGAGAGGCCATTGATGCGACTCATGTACAGGCAG